GTGGTAAGGACCAGGGGCAAAATAATGAATTCTGTTTGCCTAGAAGCTGGTTGGGTGGGGGGGGGGCAGAAAAAAATAAAACTGTGATCCATACAAAACCTCTGAAGGGCTTGGCCCCCAACAGCAGGGAAATAGTGCTGGGCTGTAAGATATAATCTCCGATGCCTCTAAGTGTGCGTCCCGGATTGCACAATACAACACCATCCAAATGTCATATGGACGTCCATACTGTTTATCTCCCATAATGATGGAAAAATGTATTCCTTTAAAGTTTGTTTGTTCGTTTATTTAGGGGCGAGAGAGAGTGCACACAGGGAGGAGGAACAGAGGGAGAGAGAGAATCCCAAGCCGACTCCCTGCCGTGTGCAGAGCCAGACGCAGGGCCTGGTCCTGAGACTGTGAGATCATGACCTGAGCCAAAACCAAGAAGCGGACACTTAACCAACTGTGCCACTGGGCGCCCCTGCAGTTAACTTTTTAACACAACCCCTTTAATGAAGCCACGTGTGTATACTTTGTGTAGGCAATCTGATGTGTGCTGTTTCCCTGACTTCTTAGCCAGAGCTCGTGGAATACAATGTCCCTTTTCTTGGTGACTTGGAGTTCTTATACAGGGCTCTTAAGCTCAAGGCATAGGGACACGTGAGGGCTGTTTGCCCTGCTTACATCAAACGCTCCCAGAATGCTGCTTAAAAAAAAAAAAAATTCCCAGAGTGTCGGCTGCTTCATTTGTAGAATCTCCTGTTCACCTGGGAGTCACTGCTTCTTCCTGCCCTTCGCGTTAGCCTTTCAGGTTTACTGCTTCTCCTGTGCTGCGACTTAGAAAAGTCAGCAAGTTAGCCCTTCCCTAAAACAACAGCATGCCTTGGAGGCCTGGAGGACTCTTCCTGGAATCGGGCAAGCTGATGACTTCCCAGACACTGTGTGCAAGGACAGGGACAGCAGATGTTGGCACCTGCTGCCCTGGTTTCCTAAATAGACTAGTGCCCCCTACCTGCCTTGCGGGGAAAGGCAGACACTCAGGAAGTGAGTTTCACAGAAGACCGTGATTGTCAAAGAAGTGCCTTACTTTTGAACAGGAGCAAAAATCCCTTCGAGTCAAAGGATCTTATTGGCCCTGTCCCTAGCCAGCAGGATGTGTGAGCTATCACAGGGCTGCAGCTGCCTGGGCGTCTCTCATCCGCCACCATACCCCCGTCCCTATGTGCTGTGCAGACAGGTCCCCGCAGAAAAGACAATGCCAGGTCACACTGCATACCTGCAAGGGGGAGAGGGCCTAAAATACATCTTCTCCTAAAGGCTTTTCATACACAATTTTCTTGCCCCCCCCCCCCAATTTTTGCAAAGCGCTTCTCTTTCCTTTTTTTCTTTTCCAGAGTAGAATTGGTTTATAATATAGTCTTTTGTTAAAACCCTGAAGCTCCAGCCGACAGAAATTTGGTAGCAATTAATTATATCTCAGTAGGCTACACTTTCAAATAGTATGAGGCTTAGAATTAATAAAAAGGGACTTTTCTGGCCATAGAAGAAAAATAATTATTTAAAATCCTGCAATTTCTCCCTGTCAGGGAAAACAAAGTTAATGTCTCCTCCCATTTCCAACCCGGCCCCGCTTCTCTGTCAAAGGGGCTGAATTTCCCCTCCTTGGCTGGATGGATTATTGCAGGAGGCTAAGCAACGGGGCCCCACAATGGCAAGATTTAATTGAGGGCATGAAATTATGCAGACTCAAAGGCTGAAGTACAAAGTGAAATTCTGACTCATCCTAAAGGATATTTATGGCCTTGGCAATACATCTTAGCAATCATTCAAAAGAAAACAATGAAAAATTTCCAAATGTTCCTCTGGCAGCAAACTTGGGTGATCATTAGAGGGAGATATAACCTTCTACTAACAGATAAATCTTCACAACAGGTTTGACACACAACAGCACTGGCTGCTTGCTTTTTTACATTCTGGGCTCTAGGTACCTTCTCAGAAGCTGGGATATAGTAACAGTTTGAGCTATGGAAACTATCTGCTGGTAAAAGAAAAATAAAAAGCACATAATGCAAAACATGGAAAGTATCATTGAACAGAGAGCTGAGGAAAATTCAACATTTTATCACTTATTATTTTTATTTAAGATTTTATTTATTTGAGAGAGAGAGAGAAGGAGCACAAGCAGGGGGAGGGGCAAAGGAAGAGGGAGAAGCAGGGAGCCTGAAGCAGGACTCGATCCCAGGACCCTGGGATCATGACCTGAGCTGAAGGCAGATGCTTAACCCAATGAGCCACCCACGTGCTGCTATTTTATCGCTTTTAATCAAGTCTTAACATGGTTCCTGGTTACCACTTAATTCTAAATGTCACCGTGTCGGAGGTTATGATTGGGGTTCTCTTCCTCTGAATCAGATGAGGTTCTCAACAGAGCAAGATCCAGTGCATGCCTGACTTTAAGTGCCTACAGCCAAGTTCGTCCTTAATGTGGAAAAACACATGGGAACAAGGGACCACAGAGCTCGTGAAGTGAAAAGCTACGTTATTTTTCTCATTGGACTTTTGGATTGAAAGTGCTGCCAAATCTGAAAAAAAAAAAAAAAAAAAGAAAAAGAAAAAAAGAAAGTGCTGCCATTTTATTTCACAGAGCCTAAAAATCACATCTGTATCCAATACACACACAGCAGGATAATTCAGGAATATTTGATTTTCTGTGGGACTGGCTGGTGATGCTATGATTCAGCAGTTTAAAAAAAAAAAAAAAAGAGCTTAGAAGGCAACAAAACACACGGAGGAACCCAAAGTGCTCCAGTCTGCCAAAAAGATGTTACAAATAAATACTGGAGAGAAAACATAATTTGGAGGCCGCTAGGGTTAATGAAAAGTTGAAATGAGGTCATGTGCAAGAACAAAATGGTAGGCTACACACGCAAGAGGATATTCTTTGGGGGATGATTGTTTAGGAGAGGAATGGAGTACAAATAGAATCCTTTCAAGTCTGCAGCCCTTATATAAAGACATCTTGGAGTCAATGTAACCTTGGAATAGGCTAAGCTAGACATCACGAACAATTTTCACAGACTCAGGAAGAGGAAGACAGGAGGGGTGGAAAATCTCAAGAAGGAGCTCAAGTCTAAGTGATGTCAGAACTAGAACCCAGGCCACACACCTCGAACATTCCAGATCCCGGGACGGAATCAGGTGTTGGTGTGGCACCCAGGCTTCTCATAAAGGCTTCTTTGGCGAATCCGTTTCCACCTGCATCTCCCGAGGTTTGCTCTAGACCAAACTAACCCAATTTACAGCACAGCAGTTCTCCCCATTTCACCCAGGCGGGGAGAGCGGGACCAGTGGAAGTGGACGCTAACGAGGCCTGCCTTCTTGGCTCTAGGCTGAGCCCTGGTGAGGTGGGAAAGAGATTAGCAAAACTGAAACCACTCCCATGGCCGGAGCAGTATTTATAAACCCAGCTGTCTTGTCAGATAGAGGTAGTTAAGAATCCCAAAGGCATTTCTATCTTGGCATTAGGGGTTGGCAAAAATGCTCTGAGGTCTGGGCATTGCCTTGGTTTCTCAAACATTGCACTATTTTTAGGATGGCTGGGGAATCAAGCTAATTCCATGATTGTAGTGATGCTCTAAAATTACTGGAGAATAGTGAAGTGCACCACTGAGAAAGGGCTCGGGTTCCAGCTCACATCTGTGGAACTCTGGGTCTCAAATGCTATTTTAGCTCAGGAATGTTTGGTGGCTCAACCCCCTGTGCAGTCCAAGCAGGCACTTTTCTCTAAAAATGACACTTATAGAATGTGCTCCCTGGCTTGGACCTACCATGTCCCCATCACATGTACTAGGCACAGAAACACACCCTCTTTGCAGGGATAGAGCAGGGACTTCAAGACTGAAGTCAAGGTATGGAAAAAAAATGATACTGAGCATCCGAATAATGTATCGTCTTAGGCTCAACAATCCTGACTCTTCACTGAGGGCTGATATAAAGAAAGTAGCTCAGATTTGTAAGGTTTTTAACCATAGGTTCTATGGTGAATTTGCTGTTAGAGGGGTGGGCAGAAAGGAGAAATTCTGCCAAATATAGTAAAACCTTATCTATAAATAAGCACAGAGAGAAAACATTTTTAGGACGCTTGAGTCAGCATGTGTACACACGACGTGATGATTTGGTGTGCGGTCTAATCACACTTTGTGACCCAAATCCCAGGATTCAAAGAAGTTTCTGTGTACTTCCCACCCCCACCTCTCACTCATGTCTACATGAGAGATGAGAGATCATAAACTGATAAAGGTTCCTGACTTATGTGTTCAAAACAACCAAGTGTGTTGGAGTCTAAGTGCGGATTTCTGACAACTGTTACTTAAGAAGTATATTTTTGTCATGCTTTCATTATAGAATTTTTTCTTTTAATTCCAGTATACTTAACATGTAGTGTCAGATGTTTCAAGTGTACAACATAGTGATTCAGTCACTGTAGAATTTCTAAAGAGAAACCTCAAAACTAAAATGCCGAATCATACATAAGAGTTTGATGCTTTGGAAGAAATATTTTGAATACCAATGTTTTCACTTCTTTCTTTATATTTAGAGTGTGCCATGATCAGGGGGACGGGCAGACAGAGGAGGAGAGAGGGAATCTCAGGCCGACTCCAAGTGGAGCCCAACTCGGGGCTCGGTCTCATAACCCTGAGATCATGACCTAAGCAGAAATCAAGAGACACTCAACGGACTGAGCGCACCCACATGCTCTAAATCAGTGATGTTTGGTGCCAATACTCCAAGAGAGGTTTTAAGTCAAAAACAGAAAGGAATATATTCCACATACGTAATATTTCTTTTTTTAAAGATTTTCTTTATTCATGAGAGACACATAGAGACAGAGGCAGAGGGAGAAGCAGGCTCCATGCAGCGAACCTGATGTGGGACTCGATCCCGGAACCCTGGGATCATGCCCTGAGCCGAAGGCAGATGCTCAACCACTGCGTCACCCAGGCATTCCCCCATATATGTAAGGTTTTATATTTTTGGTTACTTTATTAAAAGCTTAAAATTGAGACCCACTGTTTTAATTTCCTTGGCCTAGCTACCTGATTTGTCTTCCTGCCCTTGATCATGCTATCAAAGCCGTCCTACTGCGTGTCCTGAAAGAGCAGCGACGTGCTTTCCCATATCCTGAGGTGTCACCTATGTTCTTACACTCTACTGCATGCAGCAACTCTACTTACTGTAAGTTCGAAAAAACAGGCTCTGTATTCTCTCTGGTCAGGGTTACTCGTAATCTTTAACCACAGCTCTGTTCTCAGTTTAATAAAATGTCTGACAACCAAGAAAGCCGACTCTGCTTCCAAGCCACGGTTACTCACTGTCGCACGTCTCCGCCTCTTCGGAATCTAAGTCTTGCGAGCTCGTCTCTCTATCCCAGTGAACACAAAAACAGAGTTGTTTAGAGGAGGCAATGAACAGTCTTAGATTTTTCAGGAACAAATTATCAGCATTTATTAAAAGCAAACAAACAAGCAAACCCAAACTTACCGAGGAAAAGTTGGGCGGTTTGGGAAATCATATATTCTCTACGGTAAGTACACCAGATGCTGCTCTTCTGCAACAACACCTGGACTTCAGCACCCCCATTTCCTATATTATTTGTGCTCATGGTGCTTGTTGCTCGGATTTACCTTGAATCCATGAATCTGGTGGGGGGGAGTGAGGGAGGGAGGGAGAAAAAAAAAGATTCTTTAAGAAGCCGATCAATGGGGGAATCCTTGGGTGGCTCAGCGGTTTGGACCCTTTGGTCCGGGGTGCGATCCTGGAGACCTGGGATCTAGTCCCATGTTGGGCTCCCTGCACGGAGCCTGCTTCTCCCTCTGCCTGTGTCTCTGCCTCTATCATGAATGAATAAAAAAAAAAAAAAACTTTTTTTAAAATTATTTATTTATTTATTTATTTATTTATTTATTTATTTATTTATTTATTTATTTATTTATTTATTTATGACAGTCACAGAGAGAGAGAGAGAGGCAGAGACACAGGCAGAGGGAGAAGCAGGCTCCATGCACCGGGAGCCCGACGTGGGATTCGATCCCGGGTCTCCAGGATCGCGCCCTGGGCCAAAGACCGGCCCTAAACCGCTGCGCCACCCAGGGATCGCCCCCCCCCCCAAAAAAAAAATCTTAAAAAAAAAAAAAAGCCGATCAATGTAGGGTCCTCCATCAGAAAACCATCCCACATCCATAGCATCAACAGGATGCTATGATACAAGAGAGATACAAGAAATGTATTATACAGGTTAGGATACAATAAATGTGTCGCCGAGGAGCACTTCCGAGTCTTGAGTTTATTCTCAATTTACTAAGGTTGGAGTCTTGTGCTGAACGGTGACTTGCTAACAGAACCCCCGGGTGGCCGCTTTTCTGATTTTAAGCCGGAGAAGCTCCAAAAACAGAAGCAGGTCACCTCCAGCCACGATTTTTAAAACACTCTTCAAAATCCCTAAAGATTTTAGTTATTCACGATAGACACAGAGAGAGAGAGAGAGAGAGAGAGAGAGAGAGAGAGAGAGAGGGGCAGAGGGAGCAAGAAGCAGGCTCCCTGCAAGGGAGCCCGACGCAGGCCTCGATCCCAGGACCCCGGGGTCACGCCCTGGGCCCAAGGCAGATGCTCAGCCGCTGAGACACCCGGGTGCCCCCCAACCCCCCCCCCACACACACACACTTTGTAAAACTAACTTGTAGCAGCGCTTAGTGTCCAACAGAAAGCACTCCGTCTGTTGAACAATATCCTGACTGCAGAGCTTCTCTTACTGTTGGTCGATAGATAACGACACTGGGCACAGTCATCATCACCGTGGCAACAGCACCGCGTAGCTATCGGAGGAAAATTGCACATAGAGCCGCTGGCCTCGGGGCAGCCATGCCTCAGCTTCCTCCGGGGGATGCTCTTTCTGCGAGTCTGGTGTGCCCCCGGGTACCAGCCACCCAGCGCCGCGCCAGGACTGCAGACCGTGCGTCCGCCCGCCTCCCGCGGGAGCCGCGACCCTCCGCGACCCGCATCCCGAGCCCCGCTCCAGGCCCCGCGGGGCCACCCGGGGCGCAGGCCGCGGCTGCCGAGGGCCGCCCCCGGCCGCCCCGCCCCCGCCCCTCCGGAGGCCGGGACCCCGCGCCCGCTCACCGCGTTGCCACGGCAACGGAACCGGAACCGGAACCGGAACCTTCGCCTGGAAGTGCCTCCTTCCCGGCGATCCTCGGAGCCCGTCCGCCCTCGGGAGACAGGCGGCCACCCCGGAGTCTCCCGGCAGGCCCGTCTGCGCCCCGGAGGGAAGTCGTCTTCCGTACGCGTTCCGCCTCTGCGTGCCCGGCGTGACCCTGACGGACACCCGCTGTGTCCAATCAGCTGACAAGGCGATGGCCGGCGGCCAATAGTGAGGCCGCAGGATGCGGCTCGGGTTTAAGGGCCGCCCCCAATTTGTCGGGAGGCCGGATGAGCCCCCTGATTGGTAGGCTCCAGGAAGTGCGGGCTAGCGTTGTCCAATCACGGGGAGGAGCCCGGAGGCGGCCCAATGGGGTGCTCCGGGGGGCGGGCCCTGGGAAGGCTCCCCGGGGTGCGCGGGGGCGAGCCGAGGTCTCGGGCGGCGGAGCGCGGCGGCGATGAGCGGGTCCCTGAGCCGGGCGGCGGCGGCGCTGCTCCGCTGGGGGCGCGGCGCGGGCGGCGGCCTGCGGGCCCCGGGCGTGCGGGCGGCGGGCTCGGGCGGCGACGGCGGGGGCCGCTCGGCGGCGCAGCTGGACGCGCTGGTGAAGAAGGACAAGGTGGTGGTCTTCCTCAAGGGGACCCCGGAGCAGCCCCAGTGCGGCTTCAGCAACGCCGTGGTGCAGATCCTGCGGCTGCACGGCGTCCGCGACTACGCGGCCTACAACGTGCTGGACGACCCCCAGCTCCGGCAAGGTCAGGGCCCGCCGGGGGCGCGGCGCGGGCGCGGGCGCGGGGTCGGGGTCGGGGTCGGGGTCGGGCGGGGGCTGATCCGCGCACCTGGCACACCTGCCGGCCTGGGCGTTCGGAGGCCCCAGCGCTTCACCGGCCCCCAGGCTGCACCGAGAGATGGCTGAGACGGCTCAGGCCCGGTCCGGGGAGAGTGTGCCCCGCGGCGGGGCGGGGGGGGGGGACACAACCACCAGGAGGTCCAGGCGCCTTGGGGGACACGCTGAGGATGCTGGCCGGCCTCGTGGATAAGGGGCTGGTGCTGTCGGTGGTAGCGAGGGCAGGCCGGAGTCGCTCTTGTCATAGGCCGGCGGGGTCACTGACTCACCCGGTGCCTGAGGCTTGGGGTTGTTGCTGCAAGGAAGGGGTGGACCCAGCTCTGGGGCTGGTCTTAGTTGCGGTCGCTTGCTGTGGGAGACAAAGGCATGAGCTCTGGTTTTTAAAATTTTGCAGGCAGGGCGGGGTTTTTTTTTGGGGGGGGGTTAGGGTTGGGAGAGGCTCGTGGGGAGCAGCAGCATGGGGAAACGACCCCTAGGTCCCAGCTAACTCAGGCTTGGAGCTGGAGGCAATAGTGGCCAGACAGGGTGTGGGAGCAGATGCAGCAGGTCTCATGGCTTTTCGCTGGCTCAGGGGAAGGAGGGGAGGCCCCGACAGCTAATGAGTACCTCTTCTGCTGCTGAGCAGCATGCCAGGAACCCTGCGTGCATTCTGCTCTTTATCCCAGTGGGGGAGGAGAAAAAGAGGGCAGAGGAGTGGGTGGATCTGCCCCTTGGTTGGCTAGGGTCCTTGATCAGAGCTGGTGGAGAAATGAGGCGGCTGTGCCTGCACCTCCTGGAGGGTGGCTTAGTATCCTGCATGCCAGTTAGAATCCTCCCGGGACAGAGGCCTGGCATCTCCCTGAGCCTGCTGCTATTCTTTAGTTACAGTGTTCTAAAAACAGTTTTAAGGCACCAGGTTCCCTGTTATTATTCTACAATAGAGTTCTGCATTTCGTTGTTATGTACTTAGGACCGCTATTCCGAAGTGGAAATGATTGGCCAAGGTCCTTTCTCCTTGATGGGACAGGCTGATGTGGTGGAAAGGCTTTGAGCTGGAATCCCACTGCAGTCAGTCAGCTGTGCAACCTTAAGTCGCACGATTGCATTTTCCCCTCTTGCTAATAGGAAGATACCGAAACCAAACTTGACAACGACTTTAGGAGGAAAAAAAGAGAGAGTAGAACATTTTAGAAAGTGCCCACCATTTTATCTGGCACACAGAATGGTAGTTGTTTTATCATTTGGACTTTAAGGTCTTCAGAGTATTTTTTTTTTTTTCTCCCAGATTAATCCCTGGGAAAGTCCTGGTTTTCGTGGGTGGAAACTAGGAGGAGTGAAGGCAGATTAACATTACCAGCTCTATGTGATAACTGCCCTGTATTAGGCTCCAGATCCTTGTTTTCCTGCTAGAACACCACCCTTTACTAGGCCCTGGGGTGTTTTTTAAGGAGGGTGCTGCAGCCTTCGCCCAGCAGTGGCTGCTCTGCTTCAGAGATAAGATAGGAGAAGCTACTCTGCACTCTTTCGACCGGGTCCTCGCAACGGGTTCCCTGCAAATGGCTAGTATGGCTGTTAATAAACAAGTCATGTCATTGATACCTTGCTTAGTGCACGGTTTTGGGGATCTTTGGTTTGTGGTTTCTGTCCTGCTTATTTTTCTTTTCTTTTCTTTTTTTTTCTTTTCTTTTCTTTTTTTTTTAGGATTTATTTATTTTAGAGAGTGCTAGCACAAGGGGGAGGAGTGGAGGGAGAGAAATTAGGACTTGAACATATCTTTTGGGGGGACACAGCTCAACTCACAACACCAATCTTTTTTCTTTTTAACCATTAATTTATTTTAGAGAGAGCGCGGGGCAGCACGCACACAGGAGAGGGTACAGAGGGAGAGGGAGAGAGAATCTCAAGCAGACTCCCTGCTGATCAGGAAGCCCCACACAGGGCTCCATCCCATGACCCTGAGATTGTGACCTGAGCCGAAATCAAGAGTTGGACGCTCAACTGACTAAGCCACCCAGGTGTCCCATGTTCCCCCACTTAATATAACTGGAGATGAGGTATACTGGAATATAAGAATAAAGTCGGAGCAGAAATAAGAAGATTTACGCATAGCACTTAGGTTCCTGTCTTATATTTCATGCGTCTGCCTTACAGCCTCACGTTCAGGTGTTCAAACAACTGCAGTAGGAGGAGTTAAGCTCTTAAATTTCTTGAGCTTTGAGTTTCATCATTTTCATGCCCGGTTTGTTTCATACCAGATTGTTATCTTGGTAAAATAAATGGGTTGCATATCTACGGAACATAAAAAGGACACCTCTTTTGTTGCTTAGAAAAGTAAACATGCGTGCAAGTCTTAAACTTCAGACCGGGGCAGGGTAAGGTAGTGTGAGCACATTCCCACAGTGGGGATGAGTTTAGCCAGGGTGAGACTTTATAAAACGTGAAGACTCTTCATCTCTTTGCTTGCTGCACTTTTGAGTTTTACCAAGAGAAGCTGACAGGCGGCCTGATGCTTTTGCTAGCCAACGGTACATCTCTGCACCTTTCCCAGACCCAAGGTCACTGCTTGTAACTGGAGAGGGGCTCCTGCAAAATTGCCTTTCCTTTTCCTTGTGCCAGAGCTTTACAAAGGGCCCAAAGCCTGAAGAACACAGACAGTCGCTGTCTTCCTCTTCTGGGCGCCAGGTCCCGGAATTTTGGTCCAGAGAGGTCTCAGCCTGTGACCCAGAGAACAAAAAGGACTATGAGGTCTTCCTCAGGTCTTTTATTTCTCCTGTTTATCTGGAATACACACGGAAGGTAGTCCCTCTGGGTCCCAGTAGAAAGATTTCAGCATATCCTTGTCTTCACAAAGAATATCTTTCATTTTCTTTTTTTTCTTTTTTTTTTTTAAATTTTTATTTATTTATGACAGTCATACAGAGAGAGAGAGAGAGGCAGAGATACAGGCAGAGGGAGAACCAGGCTCCATGCGCCAGGAGCCCGACGTGGGATTCGATCCCGGGTCTCCAGGATCGCGCCCTGGGCCAAAGGCAGGCGCCAAACCGCTGCGCCACCCAGGGATCCCTATCTTTCATTTTCTGTTGTAAACGTATCCCACTCATTAAAGAAACTTGGAAACGCTGAAAGTAATAAAGAAAGGAAATTACCTGTAATTCCGTATACACCATTGTCAACATTTGGATCTAGTTTCTAATCTTTTTCTTTTTTTCTTTTTTTAACCGCCTTTCAGATCATACATATCTGTGCATAGTATTTTGCCCTCCTCAGAGCAGGCAATATGTCTTATGCAACTGCCTAAGTACCCTGTATGTTGCTTATGTAGAGCAAGCTTTCGGTGATTTTTTTTTTTTTAAGATTTTATTTATTTTGATAGAGAGAACGTGTACATGAGTAGCGGGAGGTGGTGAGGGAGAGCGGGAGAATCTCAAGCAGACTCTGTGCTAGTTTGGAGCTCGACTCGGAGCTTGATTTTGCAACCCTGAGATCCTGACTTGAGCTGAAACCCGGGAGTCAGACGCTTACCCCACTGAGCCACCCAGGCGCCCCTCACTGATTGTTTTAATGGGTAAATAAACACTACTTATATTTGTTATATTGTAAACTCTGTTCCATGCTATTGGAAACATAAACACTCTTAAATTTTGCCTGCACAGATCACCATTGTATTCCTTGAATCAGATGCAGTGTCTGTTGAATGAATCGCCATTATCCTATTGTTGAATGTTTATTAAGCATTTGAAAATATGCTCCGCCTTTTCAGTATCAGGGAGTTTAAGGCAACAGTAACAAATTTGTGACACTTGCAAGTGGTAAATGGTGTGTCTGGGCTTGTTTGGTGTTCCTGTTATATGCTGCAGATGAGAGTATACATTGGTGCTAACACTGTGGAGGAGTAACTTTCAGTACCCGGTCAAGTTGAAGGTGAGCATAGCTGAAGACCCAGCTGCTTCACGCCTGGGTATAGGGTCTGGAGTGGGAGTTGGCAGGCCTCCTTCGTAGAGGGCCAGAGAGTAGACACTTCAATCTGTGTGGACCCCTGCGTGTCCCTTGCACACACTCCACTCTGCTGTTGTGGCATGAAAACGGTCAGGGATGGTATGTAAACGGATGGGTGTGGCTTGAGTCCCCCTAAAACGTTATTTACAAAAACAGGAAGTGGGCCACAGTTGGCCCAAAGACCATAGTTGCCATCCTTTTATCCAGAGAGGGAGACCCCCGCATTTGAGTTACAAGACAGATGGAAGGATATTCATCAAAGCACTGCTTTTGTAATACTGAAAAATTGGCAAGAGAAGATCTAGGTCTATTAGCCCGGATAAACAGACCGTAGTGTAGTCAGGTCCTAGAAAACTAAATTGTAGTTGAATTAGAGCTAGATGTATTCCATATGACTCTATCTCAAAGAATACAATGTTTACTCATGAAGTAAGTTGCAAAAAATGTCATTATGGCACAATGCCATTGGTGTCCACAGATGTTAGAGGTGGCGAAACAGTCCCATGTATGGCGGATACACATGTAGTGCAAGTATAGTTCATGGGCAGGTGTGACACGCCAGCCACAAGCCAGAGGGCACCTCTGCCGATCTAGAACCTGGTCTTCGGACTCCCAGAAACCTGGATGGAAATCCAGGCTCCACCATACACCAGCACTGTGACCTTGGTTAAATAACACCCCTGAGCTTTGGTTTCTTCATCTTTAAAACAGAGATAATTATGCACGCGTTGCAGGATTTGTGCAAAGTGAGGCTATGTGTGTAAAACAAAGGGTATGAAATGCAGTGAGTGTTTTCAGCAAATGAGTGTTTTTATGCTGCTCAGCAGGATTGATAGCTTTCCTGTGTTTTTCCCAGTTGTGTGTATTTCTCAGAGAAGGCTGGCTGAAGGGCGGCATAGGGGACATCACCGTGGAGAGAACATCCACCTTGTACCTGGAACTGTGGGAGTTGAATCCTGTCGCCAGTTACGTCTCATTTTATCCTGATAATAAATCCGTGAGGCGTAGAGTTATTCCCACTTCGCAGGGAGGGAAACTGAGGCTAAGTAAGATGAGCAGATTGACCTGAGGCTGCATTTCCAACCTGGCAAGCCACATTCGGCTCACGTTAAGCCAGTGAGTGCTCTGTTCCCTCTGTCACCGGCCTGTTGAGGGTCTGCCTCACTCTTGCTCTGAGCCCAGATGATCTCATGTGGTGCTGGCGTCATTCTCTCAGTAGGAAGATGCGCTGACATCATTCTCAGGAAGACAGGAGGCCAGGTGACTTGCCCAAGGCAAAATTAATCTGCATCAGACTCTGAAGCTCCTATGGTGAAAATCTACCAGGAAGAAAGAAAACTCTAGTGCTCTTAAAATTTGTTCTCCAAACCAGGAACAAAGTCTGATGTTCTGGAATGTGATGAATTTTGAAAAGTCTCTTCTGAAAGTTCTGGAAGGGAACTTTCTAGTACTTTTTTTTCCCCCACTCTGGTTTGATGCTTTGGAATATTAATTTTTTTTCTGGTGGGGCAGTAGGTATATGTAGCACTGATTTTGCAAGATCACTTCCTTCCTAACTCCCAACCCCTAGTGTCACTCTGTTGGCAGTCAGTGGTTTTTTTTTTTTTTTTTTTGGTCCCAAATTGAATCTTTTTGTCTATCATCTGTGAAATATGATTCCCATTAACATCCATTCTTGGATATGATTTCAAGAGTTTCTCTTTGATTCTGACTTGTTTGGAGTGAAATTTCTAAGAGCTGTCACTGTATATTGCAGTTTTTGAAGATTAAAAAGTAAGAGATGTTAGCCTTATTTAGACAATTAATTGTGAATTGATGGGATTCAATTTCAACTTATGTCTTTTATTATTGGAAGTTAACTTGCTTCATGCTGTAGGAATCAGTTGGGTATCTGTTTAAATATTTAAACCTGTAATCAAACTTTTTTTTTTAAGATTTTATTTATTTATTCATGAGAGACACACACAGAGAGAGAGAGGCACGGACACAGGCAGAAGGAGAAGCAGGCTCCATGCAGGGAGCCTGACGTGGGACTCGATCCCAGGACTCTAGAATCACGTCCTGGGCCGAAGGCAGACATTAAACAGCTGAGCCACCCAGGGATCCCCTCTAATCAGACTTTTAAAAAAATGGAAAGCAGTATTTTTTTAAGGTCTTGGTATCAGCTGCCTGTAACACTTATTACCCTAAAAACCAGAGAAGCCGGTACATTTAATTTTGATACACTGCCAGCCATTAGGCACCTTAGCCACTGTCACAATGCTATCCTGCACTCAAAGGTGGGGTTCTTCTGAGTTCTTGCAATATAAGTTATTAGGCAAGGTAGCACAGCCCTGGGGTTTGGAAGGAGTCCATCTCCCTCGCGTGTGACTGTGTGTGTCACATGTTCCAGGATGGTTGGAAAGTCCACTTGTTTAGTAGTTTTAATGGTAACAGTTGATTCTGGTGGCATGTCCTCTTCCCCCTAGACTGGACATGTGCTCTGCAGCAACAGGAAGTTTAATGGACGAGGCAAGCCTCAAGCTTTGATTGAATGTGGTACTACCCACATGATTGATGAGAGCAAATTATTCTTTTACTTAGTACAGATTTTATTTTTATTTTTTAATTTTATTTTTTAAAAGATTTTATTTATCCTTGAGAAACATAAGAGAGAGACAGAGACACAGGCAGAGGGAGAAGCAGGCTCCCTGCAGGGAGCTCCATGCGGGACTCCATCCTGGGACTCCAGGATCATACCCTGAGCTAAAGGCAGGCACTTGACCACTGAGCCACCCACACGTTCCCAGATTTGATTTTAAAAAACTGCTTTTTAGGACTGGTTGTAGGTGGCTTGAGGTGGACCTCAGATGTCCAATTTATTTTCATTTTTGGTATGTTTCAAAAATTGTAGGCACTCACTAAAAGTATCAGTAGATACTCATTGTCTTGGAAGGCTTAACACAATATATCACTAGCTGAAAAAACAACAGATAAAATCATGCACACAAATGGTTCACGTACACAGTATAGAAGATACTTAAGACAGTTCCAAATAATTAAAAGAAATTCATATTTACTTTAAACATGTTTTAATCCCCACCCTCACCCTCAGTCACATAAAAGTAGAAAAAGATTTGAGGGTGTAACGTACAGCATTGTGACTGTAGTTAATAATACTGTATTGCATACTTGAAAGCTTTTAAGAGAAGAGATCTCACAAATTCTCATCATAAGAAAAAGCTTTGTAAAAAAAAATTAAAAAAAAAAGAAGAAACCTTTGTAAGTGCATTTGGTGACAGATGTTAACTAGACTTACTGTGGTGATGATCATTTTGTAATATATACAAATACCAAATTACTATGTTGTATACCTGAAATAAAATGTATGTCAATCATAACTCAAAAAAAAAGTTCCAAAAAAGAAAAAAGTGTGCTGTTTTGGGCCTTTGAAATTGTAACCCTTTCTCCATTAGGGAAGTCTGGAGGAGAAAGATAAAGCCCCCAGTGAGGGGCCTTGTCTAGTGTTGTGGTTTAGAGCAAATTTGCCGTAGTTTTTTTAGAAGATAGTGACTTTTAAAAGAGAAAAAACACATCATATCTTAGGACTTGTGAAATAAATGAAATTGGTGATTTTCTTTGGAAAATAAATGTTTGATAGTAAATGATAGGATATCAAGGACCAGTTTTTGTATTTTTAGTTTGTTTACATGAAAACCACCACTTGAGTAATTTTTATTTTGCATAGTATTGTATTGTGTTTGAAGAATCTGTTGACTCTTCTGTCTTATTTTGTCTGCTCCTTGTGACCATTTAAAAATACTTGCTTACTTATAGAAGTATAAAAATATCAAATATGATCCATAGTGAGTAATTACCACGTCATGATTTTGATCATCCTCTGTTCTTAATGGGACTAACAGGTATTTTATGGATGGATGTATTTTTAAAAGTGTATCTCATCTGTAGAAAGGAGTAGAATAGTGTGAAGAATGTGAGGAAAGAATAATCTTTTGTCCTAAAATTGAAACCACACCTTCTTCCTACTGTTTTGTGAAGCCCCATCAGCCTCGTGGTCCAGAACGGAACAGAATAATCACATGGCTGCACTGTCCTAGGAGGGGCCTCATCTCTGTGTGTTCAGAGCCTTTTGCACACAGGACTGATCACATGCATGCTGGTTGGTTTCTTGCCTGCTGTTCGCTTTTGAGAACGGGGGGGGGGGGGTGTCTCTCACACCCCGTGGCTCTGCACCCAGGACAGGGACTTAAACCGAGTTTCGGACCTTTCCTTGCTTTGACTCAGTCACCACGAGTTCTGTGCTGAGCCAAATTAACCTGCTCCATGGAGAGCCTATCTGAGGGTGTTGAAAGAGATTTTTCTCTGGGCAAAAGAATGATTAAGCATAAAACTCAGTGACTCACCATCTTGATGGCATTCACCAGCCCAGACAGGCACTAGAAGCATAAGGTGGGGACTGCCTCATTTGGCCAACTTACATGATGGACCCATGTTAAGTCCATTTGGAAATGAAGTCATAGTGTTGTTTCACCAAATCCATGACTGGCAGATGAGTGGAGAAGGTGGCTTTGTCCATCTTGTGTGACTCCCAATCAGCAGTCCGGTTTCTCCGCCATGGGTCCCTGTTGATGGCACGTCAGGCATCGTTTGAGAGCCTCATATACCCGATACTCATGAAAGCCTCGTGAGGTGGGAGTAGAAACAGGTGGATAGTCGAGTCACTGGTATGAGGCCTCACAGTTCGTAATCGGGACAGGTGGGGTTCAAGCAGTGATCCAGTTGACTCTAAGGCTTCTACTCCTGTGGCAGACACGTCCCCCAAGGATGGGGGAAGCAAGGGAGGGACACCAGGTGTTCTAGCAGGGAGTAGAAAAATGTATTCTGCTGTGAAAAGTTCAGCTTGGATCACTTAAATGATACCTAAATGTTCTTTCCCCTAGGCATTAAGGACTATTCCAACTGGCCCACCATCCCGCAGGTGTACCTCAACGGCGAGTTCGTGGGGGGCTGTGACATCCTGCTACAGATGCATCAGAATGGGGACCTGGTCGAAGAACTGAAAAAGCTGGGGATCCGCTCTGCCCTTTTGGATGAAAAGAAAGACCAAGATTCAAAGTGAGGGTGGCCCAGGGCCTCCCCAAGCAGCAGGGGGCTGTTGGTGCCAAGACTCACTTCCAGCAAAGCCTTACCGATTCTGGTTTTCGCTCTTCAGACAGCAGCTGCTTGCCTGGATTCCCCCCGTTTGTAAGCAGCTGGGTGGTTTTAGTGTGTCTAGGGTTGGGGCTGCGAATATTCTATTGTGAACTTAATTACAACCACTGCACTGGAATAATTCAATGTTGTATTATGATATTGTCATGAACAAAATATGTTCTTACGTTGTCATTTGCCCTTTGCCTGATTCAGGAGTAAAACGAGGAGCTCTGGAATCATTATTCATAAATCCTCTGCAAATGTGTCCGTCTGCAAAGATAATATGTCCCCCCGAATTTTTCATAGCTACTTCTGTTAAGAAAAATGATGGACAGGGAAGAAGATTTGGTAACTGGGGCGTTGTTTTTTAAAATAAACTGGCAACCCAGGGATACCGTGTGCGAGTTGTTAATTCTAAATAGCAGTAAGTCTCCCAAAAAAAAAAAAAAAAAATAGCAGTAAGTCTGTACCTCAATCTGCTCAGGCTCCTGTAACAAAATCCCGCAGACTGAGTGGTTTATAAACAATACATGTTTATTTGTTATAGTTCTGGAAGCCAGAAGTCCAAGCTCAAGGCTCTAGCAGATTAGGTGTCTGGCAAAGGCTATGCCTTGGTGCATAGATGACCTTTCTCACTGTGTCTTCACGAGGAAGCTCTCTGGGCTCCCTCTTAGAAGGGCACAAATCCCGTTCATGAAGACCCTGGCCTCATCTCCCCTCCCCAACACCCCCCCTCCAAGACCACCATTCTAGGGGGTATGTGTCAACATAGGAATGTTGAGATACAGACATTTAGTCTGTAGCAGTCTAAGGATGTTTAGTGCCTGTGACCTTTCATTTGTAGAAGTTAAGAGTGATTCTCATGCTCTTCTATTAAATTTGACATAGAAATTGCCATCAAGCTAGGGTCTAATTTCTTGAGGGGAGGTAAGTGTTGTGAACGTTCAGTGGTGGTGACAGTCCAGTTGGAGGCCTGAGTGTGGTGCCCAGAAGTGAAGTGGCTGAGGCAAGGGGAGGCAGCCCCGCTCACCCACCTCTGAAATCTGGTGCTCAGCAAGCTGCACTGCTGTCATATAGGGAGAAGTCACTGGCAGTCTTCCAAAGAAAGGAATCCACTGAGCATTTTATTTCTTAAAAAGTACAGTCTTTACACGGTCCTATGTAGAGAAAATCCTAAAGACTCCACCAAAAAAACTACTAGAACTTATAGAGGGATTCAGTAAGGTCAGAATATACAAAATCCATTGCATTTCTATGCACTAATAGTGAAGCAGCAGAAAGAGACATTACGAAAACAGTCCCATGTACAATTGCACCAAAAATAATAAAGTACCTAGGAATAACACTTAAGCAGGTAGGTGAAAGATTTGTGATCTGAAAATTCTAAAACATTGATGAAAGAAATTGAAAACTCAAACAAATGGAAAGACGTGCGCTTACAGATTGGAAGAACAAATATTGTCAAAATGCCTACGCTACCCAAAGCAATCTATAGATTTAAAGCAATCCCTGTCAAACTAATAGAATTTTTCACAGAATTATAATAAACAGTCCTAAAATTTGTTTGGAACCACAGAAGACTGAATAACCAAAGCAATCTTGAAAAAAAAAAAAAAAAGCCCTGGAGGTATCACAATTCCAGATTTCAAGTTATATTACAAAGCTGTAGTAATCAAAATAGCATGGTACTGGCATAAAAATACACATAGATCAATGGACAGAATAGAAAACCCAGAAATAAACTCAAGATTTTATGGTCAGTTAATCTTCAACAGAGCAGGGAGGAATATGCAATGGGGAAGAGTCTCTTCAGTGTTGAGAAAACTAGACAGCCACATGCAAAATAATGAAATTGGACTACTTTCTTTCACCATATGCAAAAACTCAAAATGGATTTAGCATCCAAATATGAGACCCTAACCATAAGGATTATAGAAGAGAGCTCAGGGAATAATTTCTCTGACATCGGCCATAGCAATATCTTTCTAGATACATCTCCTGAGGCAAGGGAAACAAAAGCAAAAATAAACTGTTGGGACTACATCAAATTCTGCACAGCAAAGGAAACGAGAACTAAAAATCCTGAATGGGAGAAGATATTTGCAAATGACCTATCTGATAAAGGATTGGTATTCACAATATATGAAGAACTGATACAACTCAACACCCAATAAACAATTCAAGAAAAAATGGGCAGAAGTCATAGATGTGTTTCCAGCGAAGACATCCAGATGACCAACAGACACATAAAAAGATGCTCAACATCACTCATCATCAGGCAAGCGCAAATCAAAACCACAGTGCACTGTCGCCTCACACCTGTCACAGTGGCTAAAATCAACAACACAGGAAACAAATGTTGGTGAAGATGAGAAGAAAAAGGAACCCTCTTGCACTGCTGAGAATGCAAACTGGTGTAGCCTCTCTGGGAAACAGTATGGAGGTTCCTCTAGTTAAAGATAGAACTCCCCTATGATAATTATACCACTGGGTATTTACCCAAAATATACAGAAGCACTAATTTGAAAGGATATGTGTACCTCTGTGTCTACGGCAGCATTATTTCCAACAGCCAAATATGGAAGCAGCCTATGTCCATCGATAGATGGAGAAAGACATATATATATATACACATACATACACAAAGGGAATATTACACAGTCATAAAAAATGAAATCTTGCCATTTGTTACAACGTGGGTGAATCTAGAGAGCGAAATGCTAAGCGAAATAGAGAAATACCATATGATTTCAGTAAGATGTGGAATTTAAGGAACAAAGTGGGGTGGGGGGGGTTCGGAAAGAGAGACAAACCAAAAAAAATGCACAACAAACCAGACTCTTAACTATAAAGAACAAACAGATGGTTGCCAGAGGGGAGGCAGGTGGGGTGTGTGTGAAATAGGTGAAGGGGATGAAAAGCAAAGAGCCCTTCAGTCAGCTCCAGGGCCTTGAGCACAATGTCTATTGGAATTGAAGCTTTCCAATGGCAGATGTGGGAGGAAGAACGTAGTTATTAATGAACAGGCCAAGAGTGACCGGGAAGGACGGGAGCCTCACTCCCCAGTGCTGTTCAGAGGCCTGTTCTGTGTACTTAGTCTACTTGAGCACCTCTTGAAAAAGCTCAGAGAACAGACTGACGTAGGTAGGATTGACCGTCTGGGCTACTGCCGCCATCCCTGCCCCAGAGGCTTGGGGATTCCAGAGGAAAAGAAGGGAAAGGGGTAGCTCCACCTCCACTTCGCTGGAGACTGTCCCACCGGGTGAGAGGTCTGCTCCTGGCCTGGCACAGAGCTCAGGGCTTCAGGGAAAGAGAAACAGATCGGTTTCACAGAAAGGTTTTTTATGACCTGAATTTTTTTTTTCTTTCTCCTTTTTTTAAAAAAAAAATTATTTATTTTATTTATTTATTTTTTCCTTTTTAAAAATTTAAATTCAATTCGCCAACACGTAGTATAACACCCATCAACACTGTGGTGTTGGCTCTAAGCTATGAGTTTCCGTAGACCCCCTAGAGGAGATTGGAACTCAGCCAGGTGGCCCTTCTTGCTTTGCAAGTGCAAGTGTGGACAGTAGAAGGAAGGCTCAAGGTCTCCCCCTCCACTGGGCTGCCCTGAGGAGGTGAGGAGCAAGGTCGTGCGCGCCCTTAGCCTTTGGAGAGAATATCCTTGACAAATCACTTCATACGGTCCCTGGATGAGCACCTGGCCATGGGGCACACACAGCTGCAAAACTGTTCCTCGCCTTCACATCTGGCACGTAGGTGGTACTTTAACGTGATCTTGCCTTTTTTTGGCTTTTGCCAAGATGCTCCTACGTACTACCCTGAGGGTTCATCAGAAATATCAAATGATGAGAAGATCAGCAGGGGAGACATCAGGGTGAGAAAGCTCCCCCAGACCAGTAGGATGGGGTTAGGGCCGCCAACTGAAGCATCTCACTCATGCTCATGAGTCACGGTGACATCCTATCCGTCGCCAGAGAGCTTCAATGTTTAAGGGATCACTGAGCTCTACGGAAACAAATGTTCTTTCCAGAAGTTTTAATTAATACTTTTTTTTTCTATATGCTTCACGAGTCTTTATCAAGTGGAAAATTGAAGATGCTGTCTTCTGCCGGTCTGAATAACTGTGATGATCTGCATAATTAGAATTCACTGTGATAATTAGAACAGTGACACCAAAGTCCCTTGTACAAACAGCGGTATCGCACGCCATCTATTTTCAAATGCGAGGTCCGCTTCACAGCTTTCCAGCACAGCACGTTTGGCTCGTATCGTTGTGATTTATTGGCTTATTGTCACAACTTCAAAGTGCCGTGTTAATAGACCCTTTAGAAACAGCAGAAGTTATTTTAGAAACTTAAACGTTTGCATGATTTCAGGCGGTTTTTGTTTCCTGGGTTGGTAGTTACATAAATGTCATCGCACTTCATTTAAGCAATGAAGTGTTAGAGGTGCTTTAGGACCGAAGGTAAATTTTAAGAGGTCTCATGGGCTTGGGGCACCTGGGTGGCTCAGTTGAGCATCTGACTCCTGATTTCAGCTCAGGTCATGATCTCAGGGGTCATGAGATTGAGCCACAAGTGAGGCTCTGCGCTGAGTGCGGAGCCTGCTGGGGATTCTCTCTCTCTCCCTCTGCCCCTTCCTACCACCCTATCCAATTGGCCCTACCCAATTAATTGTGCAGAACCTGAGACATGAAGCTTTCCTATAATTAATAAAGCCATAGCAGCTAGCTTGAGAGAGAATTCTTGGCAATGTATTCAGTACAGCTTATTTAGATGTTTAGAGATAAATTCTATCTTGAGAGCGTCGGGTCCCAGGAGAGATTGTGCTCAGAGTTCAGAGGGAACCACCCCTGTGTTAGTGAGGTTTTGTTGAAGTAAATTTAAACCAGAGGCAAGGAAGCTTCCGTGTTTGTTCCTGAGAGTCACTGACAGGAAAAAATAGATATTGATGGACAGTCAGACAAAAAGCTGATTTGATAGATTGAAAAAAAGATTTTATATTCCACTTAAGAATTGTCTAGTGAGCCTAAAAATAGCTTTAAGTTGTACCTAGGGAGTTATGAGAGCCAACTGGAGGGATAGCGGAGGGGTGGTAAAGGAGAAGCGCAGATTGTGAGCCCAGGAGGGGATGCTCAAGGTGACCGAGGGGTGCTGGTCCCCCTTCCTGAGCGTAGCATCTCTGCAGCTCCGGGCCACGGCCAGTTGGGCTGGGAGCAGATCTGGCCTGGATCGCAGGCAGGAAATCCTACAGAAACTGCACCCTGCCTCAGAGATCTTGTCCCAGCCTCAGCAGAGTGGTGGCCTTCCACAGACACCTCCCTGGCCACTTCGCTCCCCTGCCTATGAACCTACTGGGGACACTGCCCAGAAAGCCTCCCCTGACA